GGCTGCCAGCGCAGCCCTGGCACCGGCACCAGGCTTCAGGGGGCTCATCCTGATGGAATTCAGCCTGAGACGCAGCTTTGAGTGACTGAAGGCACACGGGGCGGAAGCGTTCCCTGTGCTGCTGCCTCCCTTGGTAATAAAGCGGGTTCTCCCGTCTTCCTCCTGGGGAACGCTGCATCCCAGTTCCAGGGGATGGGGGATCTCTGCCTTCGTGTTTGGGGTCTGTGTGTACCGGCAAACGTCCCTGCAGCCTGCTGTGACCCAGGGCCCGCCTTCCTGGGATGCAGGGAGGGAGGGGGCCAGTGCTGGGCAAGGGAAGAGGCTGGGGGGAGTGCTGGGACTGTTGTAGGGAGGGGATTTAGGAGCTGGAGAAAAAACGGGGAATGGGGGGCAAAGGGCAGAGCTGATACCAAGTTAGGACCGTTAGGTGACTCCCTGCCCTCGTGCTGAGGGGTGAATTACCCTGGGGATTTGTGCTGTAGGATATAGGTGACACCAGGATCTTGACTGGATTTAACAGGAAGAACAAGGGGTTTTTTCCTGGTATGTGGCAAGTGTCAGCTAAACTCTCCCTGCCGGGGAGGTGTGAACCACGTCGGCAGTGGTCGGGGTGTGCTACACCCTGCCCAGCCCATTCCTGTCCGGATGTCGTCCTGGGGCTGGCTGGGCCCAGCGCAGGGAGTGCCTGGAGGCAGTGCTGACGTGACCGTGTCCAAGTCCTGCCTGCCCCTTCCCTCCCGGGGCTGCTGGCGGTCGTGCCCACCCCCGGCTGCTTCACGCAGCGCTCTGCGCTGAAGGGCCGTTCCTCCCCCAGGGAAGCATGGCAGAGAAGGTCCTGGTGACTGGCGGAGCTGGCTACATCGGCAGTCACTGCGTGCTGGAGCTGGTGGAGGCTGGCTACGTCCCCGTGGTCATAGACAACTTCCACAACGCCATCCGAGGTACCGAGAGCCTTCATCCCTTCCCACGCAAGGGGCTCGGCCCCCCTCACCCTCTGCCGGGACCCCCGGCTATCCCAGCGCCTCGCTCCTTTCTGTCTCCCCAGGAGCAGACGCGCTCCCCGAGAGCCTCCGGCGTGTGCAGCAGATCGTGCGCCAGCCCATCCTCTTCCAGGAGCTGGATATCACCGACGAGGCAGCGCTGCGGGAGCTCTTCAGTAAGGTGAGAGCGAGAGCTGCAGTGCCCCAGGGTGGGCTGCGAGGGGTGAGAGGGGTTTGTGCTGGGGGTGGGAGCCAGGAGGGAGACGTGGGCTGGAGAGGACAGTGCTGAGGAAACGCTGGGACCCGCAAACGTTTCTCTGGGCCACAGAGAACACACGGGCTGGCTGAATGAAAGTCCTGGGGAGGGCTCCCGCTTTCT